TTAGAACATTTTAGAGTGCTGTGACTAGAGAGCAAGAGAGAAGACAAGTGCAGCTGCAGGATAAGTTTTGTGTTAGTTCCATTGTGGGACGGGAGAAGAGAGATGTAGGTGCTTCATAATGTTCAGAACACTGATTTATTTTTTTCTCCCTTAGATCTGGTGTGGTGGGCTTACAGTGAGTACTGGATTGCAGGTGCCAAGTGCTGTGAAAACGCTCCAGAAAAGTGAAAATGGGTTGAGTGGTTCAACAAGCAGCCTAAACAATATTGCCTAGTAATGTCTATTAAACACTTCTATTGCTGAATGTTTTTTTTTCTGTGTAGCTGCTACTCACAGAAGCTTGTGAGCATTGGATTAAACTGGGTTTGCTACCTACTGCTGTTTAAGGCCTGGGTACTAATAGTGCAAAGGTTTGGGGCTAAAGTGTTAGGAACTTACTATGAATCCAGACAGAAATGTCAGACAGAAAACTGAACTGTTGCCTATTCAAAAAATAAGTGGAGAAATCAAGAGCTGTAACTATGTACTTTTCTAATAAGCATTTTGTTATGGGCTTCAATATTAATTGTTATGAATAATACCTTTCTATGAAGAATATAACAAATACCATTTTCTTAGCTCTCCTAACATGAATTACTTTACTATATATTTTATTATTACTGGGCTTCCCATTAGAACTTGTGATACCAAACATGCATTTCAAAAGAATATTGATTTGCTAGCCTAACCTGGCAAAATATCACAGCAGTATGATTTCAAAAGAACGTTATAAGAAGTTGTAGGCCTGATATGAAGAAACAGTAAGAGCAGTCTGTGATTTTTTTCTTATACAAAATCCTCCTATTTCCCATGATTAACTCATTTAAATATCATATATTTAGAGTTCGGCTCCCGTTTATAACAAATTACAGAAAATGTAAAAATACAAAGGTATTTAAAAACACTCTTATGTCCTCAGTGAAGACGCATTATGATAGCCAGCCATTGAGCTAGGAAGTATTTCAGGTAAGAGGTTCAGAACCAAAGATCCAGAGCTTTTTAGAAACTACAGCGTGGTACTGCTCTCTCAGAAGCTCTTAATTTTGGGTCATCTCTTGGCTTTCCAGTTTTGTGGCGCTATTCTGATTGGATTCTGATAATCAGCAATTCACATTGTTCATCAGATGCGAATGGCAAATTGAATCTTTGTCTGCCGATAGCAAAGCTGCAACGTGGCAAGGCTGGGAACAACGGTGTGAGAGCTTCAGTTTAAATGCATCTCCCCAGAGAAGATGGGCGGGGGGGTGGTGGCTATTGCTAAAACATCTTTCAGCTTTTTCTCAAGCCAGCTTCAAGGCTGGCTAAGACTTCTCGAACAGCTGTCTTGACACCAAAGCTGGCTTTGAGCAGAAGCGGCACTAAATTCGTGGTGATAGGGCAGTATCCTCTGAGTCCAGGTGCACACTTTTGCTACCTGTTTTGACTAGCCTAGTGAGGATTCCTGGAACTTTGTGGATAACCAGAGAAGTCCAAAAATGGCGTCATTTCTGTATCCAGCAGAAACGTAGCTTATATACATAGCATCCCACTCCTAACTTGCTACTTTGTACCATATGCCATCTATATGTGGCTCCAAGACTGGCTTTCAGAGGATCGTATTCTGAAGGATCTCTTTATAGACTCCAACTTAATGCCTTCCCCTTTTTTAAGGGCAAGGAAAAAGTGGAAAGTGAGCAAATGCTTTGCCAGCTAACATACAATCTACTTCTGGATCTGTGGTTATACATTTTCATTCACAGATCAAGTGAAATGTTGAGCCTGGGTGTTCCATCATCTCAGCTCCTAGTTTGAAGCTTAGTAACAATAGTCGAATGATGCGTAATAGTGGGAGAGCTAAAAAAAATCATGTTATATTCTTCGTGGAAAATCTCAACTTTTCAATGAGAATTACTTATGTATTATAGACTGTTTAAATCTGCTTTCTTCCCTCTAATCAAGTCCAGGAGCCTAGGAATAATTTTCAGATACACACTTGAATCAACTGTTTCCTAACTGAAGATTTTTTCCCATTATCACTTAAACTGTTTCAAATTCATGCTGATAGGGTCCGTAATGAATTGGCTCCCTTCCTACAGGGCCAAAGTACTTTTTCTTCTGTGTATCTTTTAGTCTGTAAAAAATGACCATCTAACTATGTTAAACCTTGTTAGTAGCAATGGGTCCTTTGTGTCCATCAAGATTTCTCAAGAGGAGGGAGAAATTCCTTGAAACAACTCATAATAAACTGATTATGATGTTCAGTGGAAAACTTAAATTTTCTTCTTAAAATTAATACCTGCTCTAGAAAGTTTTGTTTCTCTTGAGAAATCATGAAGTTGACAGGGCAGGTAAGCCCTTAATAGTCATTTGTTATCTGGAACTTGAACATCTCTAAATATTTGCATTGTGAACAAAGTTAGCTGTAATCTCTTTTGCAGAGGAAAGTGCAAAACAATTCCCAGTTTAACTGTACCTTTCTCTGCCAGTTTAGTGTTTTGGGTTTTGAAACAAAGATACTGGAAGGTGACGCAGTTCTTAAATGAACAGTGACTGAATCTGTTTCACACCTTATCTACAGATGTTGTTATTATCCAAATAGTCTGTGTAGTAATCTTAAATATTTCTTCCTCATTTCTTTCTTTCTTGCTGCAATGAACACCTGACTGGGAGTTAGGGGCTCGGCTGCTACGAATTCAGTGGTATGTGAGGGAGTGAGACTTGCATGCTTGGACCCTGGTGGTGGTTAGAGAGAAAAGGGTTAAGGCGGATGCTTCTTGTTTTGAGGCTTGTTCTGCGGAACAACTGTGGTAAACAGACATGGAAATAGGCTAGTACCTGATCACGCTGCCCAGTCATCGGCTTGATCTTGAGTGTTCCGCTACAGTTCCTATTTCAATTTCCCTTTTTGGAAAGAAAGGGAACGTTTACATAAGTTGACGAGTAGTGAGGAAGAACCACTGTGAGTAATTCCCAGCCCTACAGAAGAGCATTTAAATTATTCAGTTTTTTAGCAAGGTGTAGTGCAACCTGCAAGGTAAATTTGATATGCACAATGTAAAAATGTAATTTAACACTTAGAAGAAAGCTTGAAGTATTTCCTACTGTGACTTGTGACTTGCAAGTTTTAGTTCAACTGATGTCCTAGATGAACTTAACATGTGACTTTTTACCCTTAAAGGATGAATTTGTTATATAATAGTTTGCACAGATGTCAAATTTTTGCTGCTAACAGCTAGTCCAATTCTTTTTAGTAAATGGGGATATGAAGAATTGCCTTAAGCACTTTAGATTTTTTTAGACTACTCTTTTTTTCTGAGCTAGTGTCTGTCCAGTACCAATGTATTGGTGATACTTTGTTGCAGTTGGTGCACTGTTTGTACCTGCAGCTAGGGAGGGATGCATGCAGCCTGTGACGTTACTGTTTCCTAGGGGAATCCACTTCAGGGACCGGAGGGGTTGTTCTTTGGCAATCGATTAGACCTCCTGAAGGTCTGTCGTTTTGCCCTGTGGTTAACATTAAGTATAATATGCCTGGTGACTTTAGTGTTCCCTGAGTCTCTCTGCTCTGGAGTTGATGCTGTTTGGTGGCTAGACAGGAGTTTTCTCTGTGACCAAAACGGGATTTTTTAAATATTTTTTTAAAAATACTGATTACTGGTAGTCTTTCAGAGTTAAAATAACTTCAGAATAACTTGTGAGGAACTGAAGGTTTCCCTTGAGTTCTTAATACATCAGAAGACAGTAGCTTTCATTGTTTCTACAGAAAGCTGTATGAACTGCAGTGAGGGATGTTAATTTCAGAACGGATGATTTAAAAGCATCCAAGTGATAGGTGCTTCTCCGAATACCAAATACAGATGGCAGAGGGTGACAGGTTTATTTCTTTAGCCATCCTCTAAGCAGAAAAAGTACAAGCTAACATACAAGCCTCCCTCCCCTTGCACTCCCCCACGTTACTGCCGTTTCCTATTAAGACTGGGGAAACTAACTGGTTCCCTCAGGAAGAACGTCTGAGTGAGCAGTATTTTTGTCTGATAAGGATCACAGGTAATGAACGTGGCGCATAGTTTGATAGACAGCCTCTCTTGAGCTCGAACAGTCTGAATGCCCTGTTGGCAG